AAATTAAACTATTTGGGAAGCTAAAATAGTACTCCATGGATTATTCTTTGCTCTTCTGTAACAGTGTCGGACCCTCGTGGCTCAGGTTCTAAAAAAAAGGTTCAAAGAATTTCTCCTTCCTGTAAAACTCAATGCCTTCATCATCCACAGTGGACCATGTACCCTCTATCCAAAACTGTGATCACTTCTTTAATAACAGGATAAACAAATATACATTATGCAATTTTAGTTTTAAATTTTTTGTGTCAATTAAAAACAATCAGAAGTTAAACTGAAACCAGAAAACACTTGTCATTTGCTTTTAAAGCACAAAATAATTAAATATACAAATTGTTTTTTTTGTATTAACCTTTGTTTTTGGGTAAGCTATTGTTAGCAATGCTAGTTGATTAGCAGCCATCTTGGATTCTGAGGCCAGTGTTAGCGAGGTTATTCCGACTTGTTTAAGATAGAAATCCAACTAAAAAGAGCATTTTGAATAAAAATTTCTTGCTGGGATTTTGGATCGAACGTACCATCAGTTTACTTCTTTCTAATGCTGCAACTGAAAAACTCAGGATTTCGGTTCTGTAACAAGGAAGACATAAAAATAAAATACTACTAAAAGTTAGATTTCCTGAGTGGTAACTCAGGTAAGATTTCTCAACCCTTATCTCAACATTTTTTTTTGTAAACATTTTTTTCTGTCATTCATTTCTCCAAAACAGTCCGCTACACAGTAAACTGTGGGGAAGCAGAGCTTTTCTCTTTTAATAAGTTTAATGTCTAAATGTCTAAAATTTTAGACAATGCACCTTTTATGCCTTTTCTGCTCTTCTGTTCCTTAAGATAAGTGAACTACATGTCTGTTGCTGAGTGTTTTTGATTCAATTTTCAGTTCCATTCTATTTTATTTATACATGTCATCTCACAGCGCTTGATAAAACCTTGAGGCAGCTGTAGCTTCAAGGTCCAACTTTCCATTTCCAAGGTACACTGAATGAAGCATAGCTCCCTATCTGATGCTGACTCAAGTGACGTAACTTCAGGACTTTTGTCAGCTTTAACACAAGACCGACTGCAAACAAACTAATATGCCAAAGTAATGAAGAAGAAACTATTTGTCTTGGAAAGACAACAATTAACAATTCATAGACGTGTGCTTTTCTGATCAGAGGTCAGTAAGGTGGTACATCCCTGGGAAATATTTGACCATGTGGTGTATTTCATCATCAATTTTCATTCAAGATCATCATCAATGTCTCTGGATGTAGCATCTAAATGACATAGTTGTCAATATTTCCTTCAAAAATGGAGTTGGATAGATTAATAGAAGTAACTGCAGTTATTTTTCCACCTCTGATTACACGTGGAGATGGTACTGAGTACAATCATTATAACTGATCTTGATCAGTGGGGGTGACTGCCGCAATCTGCAGAAGGAGATAGAAGAGTAGTTGAGGCATAGCTGCTCATCTGCCCTGAGCTTTTCCACTAATCACCTGTTTTTTATCTGCAAACACAAGGTTGTAAGTCAAGCTAAAAGGTTATCAAGCTATGGTGGAGTTGTAATAAAATTACATAAAAATATAATTGGTACAACACATTTGCATTGATCACCTCCCTTTCTTTGTCAGAGATTTCTTATCACTGGTCCGCCTTTACACAATATACCAGATAGATGACTGAAATGAAGCTCTGGGTGACACGTCAGCTTATCTGCAGAGGGGAATGTGCAGGAGAGGAGGATGGTGAAGACAGGGAATGTTTTTGAATATGCTCAGTTAAATTAAAATCAAGCACTCTTACACATGTGACAAAGTGCGTCTCACCACCTTTCTGTAGCGGTCAGCGCAGGTCTACCATTCATCCACTTCTGAGACTTGTGTTTTTGACAGAGGGCTGTGCTCGTCTGAAGAGGGCCTTTTGTTCTGCAGCAGCTCGCCGCCTCCGGAGAGGTGCAGCAGGCCACTGGGCCACAGTGAGCGCCTGCGTTCCTTCCCTGGCAACAATCACCACAGTGAGGCGGCCTCCTCTCCACACTCACATGCCTGCTCTCGTCAGCCTCCCACCCAGGTCACATGAGCAGGGCCCCTGGTTAACCCGACCCACCGAGATCCCTCCTTACATGGGGCCCGTTAGAAGCCCACACCTTGGCATGTTCCCTCCCTCCCTCCACCTGCCTGTGTAGTGATAATACGGATCATTATGGTCATTACAATGCTCACTGCTCACAACACGGGGCAGATAAAGTTTATTACTACATCTGTGATAAGCATCTGTCCCTGAACTTCAATCCAATACAGCTTCATGAGCCACATGTTCCGAAAATAAAATCGAGCTGGCACGTTTTTATCTGTGTTTACACTTTCTTAGAATTTGGAGAACCTCAAGGAACTCTGGAGATATTCAAGGAACTTCTATGAGGGGTTCCTGGAGGATTTTTTGAAGAGAGCCTGACACTTTAAACTTGCATTTACACTTTGTTTTTATTATTTTATGTTGAAAACATAATGTTATTGAATTTGTGTACATTGCAATACTTTTAACATTTCTATAATATAACATTAGAGCAACTTTGGATATTGTCTGACTTTCTGCTGATCGATTTGTGTGCAAGTTTCTATTGACACTAATGTCAAGGTCTCTGTTTGTCTAAATGTAAAAATGTCCATTTAGTAGCAGCTAAAATATTGTGTAATGTTTTTATTATGTTGGGGGGTAAAAAAAAAAAAAAATCCACGATAGCAACAAAGAGAATAAACGCGCCTAAAAAGGAGACTGAAACCCATTAAAACAGTTCTTTGAAGCATTTTGAGCTTAAATGTAATCCAGAAAGTTTCTCAAGGCTTTATTACAGTAAAATATGAGTTTTTATAGGACCACCTATAGTGAGGAACAGGGCTGCAATTAGAAATTATTTTTACTAATTAATCAATTAATCTATAGAATACCTTCTCAGTTTATGGCTGGTCAATAAAATGTAAGAAAATGTTGTTTTTTTTAAAAGGCAGTTAGTGTACTACAAGGGTAAAAACAACATCCTCAAAAGTCTTGTTTAGTTTGCCCTCAGTGAGGAGCAAAGAAACCAGAAAAAATTGTAATTTGAGAAGCTGGAATCATAGAATTTAGACTTCTTACTTGAAAAATTACTTAAACAAATCCACTGATTATCAGGCAGTGTTCTAGTTGATGAGCTGATTAATCGTTGCAGCTGAAGAAGCACTGAGTATCATTGCTACGATCAGCCCTTCAGAGCATTTATCATCTTTCAGCTAATTGTTTCGATTATCTAGTTACCGGTTCAAACTATGAGCTGTTTTCGGCTTTTACTTTACTCTGGTACCAGCAGGCGAAAAACATCCAAAGACCGAAACTAAAATAAAACGCTGCTGATGTGCTTTTAAAACATGTTAAGAGAAACAACCACATTACACCAGCCCTTGCTGGCCTTCCCCTGTGAGTTTTACAATGGATATTAAGATTTTACTGCTTGTTTTAAATGACCTGGCTCATGTGTACATCCACAATCTGTTTGAGATCCTCTGGCAAGTCTGGTTCCTCATTCTCATCATCACCAAAGCTTGTCTTTGCTGTCCACTACAATGCACGCAACACCAAAGGCCATGAACACACAACAAGAAAACGCAAAGTTTAGTTCTATAAACAGCTTCTTTGCCTTCCATCACAGTCAAATGATATGTGATGTTTATCCAGGTGAGATCATTCTGCATCCCTGTTTATTTTATTATATATTATATTTATGTGTGCAAATCTATCGCTTTGTATGTTTTTCATTGTTACGTCAACATTAAAATTATGACCTGTGTGTCTTAATAGTTTGACAAATTCAAAAGTTAAGTTGAATACAAACCTTACTTCTCCTGGGTGTTGTTACACCAGAGCAATAAGTATTATAGATGACTATCAGTACTGAGTGTGTCGCCCAGGCCCTACTGTATGATATGTTTTTATTGTAAGGTATTTTGTAACTTTATTTTTAGAAGGTGCTACATAAATAAAGTTTATTAAATATTATTTTTATTAATATTAACATAAGTAAAACATCTTTAACTCCTGTCTACTGTATGAAAGCACAAGTTGCCGACTTATAAAATGATCTAGCTGGTGAACATGGTGGCTCATGAAGAAGCTAAAGAACTAACTAAAGCTAACTAACATCCTCCAGAAGTTAGAACAAGTAAAGCAAGGCTAAAATGAGCTTCAATAACAGGCTTACATTTATTAAATGGACATAAACAAAACTCCTAATAAATTCTAAAGTTGCTTCACATTTGCTGGACGTGTACACTATAACTTAGCAGGTGAACACAGTGGAGCATGTAGCAGCTAACAAGCTAACAGGCTAACTGCTGCCCGTCAGGAGTTGGTGGAGACCAAAACAAAGCAAAAAGAAGAATAAATCAGACTTACATTCATCATGTTGACAGAAATTTGACTTCACATGATTGCTGATGTTATTGTACATCTGCCAGATGAAACTGAAACTAAGAAGCTATTTGCTAAGATGTTAGCCACATTAGCTTAAAAGGTGAAACTAGAGCAAAGATGTTTTTACAGTTTGTTTTTTACTGCAACCAAGTGGTCATAGAGAACAATGCAGGTTAAAAGATGGATTCTTGTATAATTCTCAAGATAAGTCTCTTACCTGCTTTTATGTGCCATTTAAAAATTTGAAGTATTAAGGAAATTTGCATTTGTCCTCATCATTGCCTATTTCTGTAACGCTTTTTGATAAATACACGTTCTTGTCTTTTTAGCATAGTAGTAGTTGAAACAGTTTATTTTACAGATTCTGGTCGGGCCTATGTGTAGCTAGCAGTCTTTTTAGTATTATAGCATAATGGCAAATGTTCCACATTGTTGTTAATGCTCCTAAATTTGATAACAAAGCATTAGCATAACATAGCATTTGGCTTAACATGTGTCTTTGTATTCACACAGCCCATCAAGTCTCTCTTCCATGAAAAAAATTGTGTAAAGTCATTTGTGTTGCTGATTTAATTGTTTTCATTGGTGAAAGCAGGATTATCGACGCCCTGGATGTTTCCATTAGATAATTCAGAATTGTGTGGCAGCGTTGTGACCGTCCAGGGACCATGAAGCGGGTCCCTGGAGGCCTCTGAGATCACATCGTGCCACACGTACCGATAGCAGAGGAAAACCAGGCCGCTGATGAGCAAGAGGACGGAGGAGCAGATTCCCACTCCGATGGCCGAACCGACCTTCTGGCTGACAGGAGCAGCAGGGAGGTGGAACTCTGGAGGAAAGTCTATGGTCCTGTTGTTCAGCACCGAAGTCATGTTCCACACCAGCGGCACCAAACACAATGTCGCCGTGAGCAAATACAAGAGGCCCCCCGCCACGAAGGCCAGCCTGATGCTCCTGCGGTTTTTCACAGAAAAGTAAACCATCCTCATGGCTACCGCAGCGATGATGTTCCCTGCCAGGCCACTGATCACTGCCATCATCATCATCACCTGAGCCACAGAGATCTCAATTGGAACAAAGGTGTCCGAGATGCCGATACTCCAACAGTTCTCCATCCTGGGCAGGACGTGGCTGTGGAAACACGCCCTCCAGATACCCACCCAGGCCACGCCCGAGGAGATGACGGACACATCGTCCACCTCCCACAGGCGCCAATCGTTGAGGCCGATTGTGGTCATGGTCAGGATCCAGGCCAGGAACCCGGCTATGAGGGCCAGGAACTGCCAGTGAGCTGTGTTTGCCAAGTAAAGCATCTCTGAGCTGTGAGGCTGCTAATGCTCAGAGAGACTGATCACTGCTGCCATCACTCCTGATGGAAACAAAAATATACACAGGAGTGTGAAAATAGCTTAAATGCACATGTACATTAATAATTCGATGTTATTGTTAGATTTAATTTGGACTTTGAAGTATGAGCAACATGGAAAGCTCACTGCCAAATTTACTCTGGGATTCACCTCAGAGGGAACCATTAAAGGGTTGGTTCATCCAAATGATCAAACACACATTTCCTCACTTAACCTCTCACCTCTTGTGGTATATAACCATGTGGATATTATTATCTGCTGAGGTTTAGAGATTTGTGACTCCAGGTGAGTCTACAGAAGAGGAGGTGACGGGAATTTCCGAAATAAGTGTTGGGATTAGTCTGGATTATCCACAAAACTCGCTGTAAATTGTTGTCTAGAGAACTTTCTTTTTACTTCAGAAACATAAACACCACTGGACTTGCTCAAGGTGTATTTAGCTGGTATTTTCACAACTTAGTTTTATGAAGTGGTTTTACATTGCAATACTTCAACACGTATACAATAAATATATTTAAGAAAATTTTGGCAAACTTGGATCTTGTCTGACTTTCTGCAAATGACTCTTGATACTAATGCTAAGGTCCCTATTGGTCTCAATGTATAAAAACTTTTCCACTTTATTTAGGGACAATTTTAATCGTGTCCAATATTTTTATTTTGTTCGGGGGGTTAAGAAATTTTGTACAATATTAAGAATGAGAATAAAGATGGATACCCAAACCCCACAAAACAGTTCTGGGGTTCTCCAAGGAACCATTTTAAACCCAGAAAGTTCTGCCACAATGGAAAAGATGAGGAACCCCAAAAAGTTTGTTGAGGCTCTTCTACTTCTAAAAGAGTCTTAGAAAAAGATATTTAAACAGCTTTAATCACATTTTTAATATGATTTCTGGTAGTGATGAAAAGGCCTGCAAGTAGCAATTATTTTCACTAAATAATCAATCTGTAGATTATTTTCTATCTTGTTAAATGCCATCTAAACACTGATTTAACGCCAATGACGCTGTTTCATTGTCACAATTCATGTTTTAACTCTCAAGGTGCCAAAAAACAAGATTATTTATGACATTTAGTCCACAGTTGATGTCCTACATCTGAACTGAATTGGTTTTAAAATCTTTTTTTTATTTCATGTGTCCCTCTCCCGTTTATAGTTGAGTTCTTTTGTTTTTCTGTCTTTTAGTTTGTTTAATTTCCCACATCATGAACTGTAAATCCTAAGAAAAAACACACTACAGTTTGATTTATATACAATCTGGAGAACTAAAGCATAAAAAAGCACAATAATTTACTGTAGGCCTGTGTTTGCCATATTTTTTATTCCACTGCGATAATCATTATATCATGTTTATTGCTTTATACTGGAGAGCTTCAGAGCCAATAAACTGGCAGATATCAGCTTGCTGCTTGCTATTCTGTTTCCTGCTTTGTGTGTATTTGTCTGGAAACATTATTGACAGATATGCTTGAGGACGTTGTGCAACAACATCTCTATTTTAAGTGTATTTTTTCACTGTAAAACTTCCTACCAAAAATGTATTGTATTTTTTCTTCAGTGAAGAACATATCTAGTGTACACATTCAACAATAAAAGTCTGTGTGTTGTTATCCAACTGTCACCAGTTATTTTGATTACTATCCATGTAAACTGTACATTTAAGAATCTTTCCGTATTGCTACTGTATTTATGCAAGCACACATTAAGAAATACTCTGATTGTCAACATAGCCAGAACACAAAACAACAATAAAACATGACGTTAAATCCCCCTTTCCATATAAATCAAGCATTTATCATTCCAGAATTCATTTGAAGCAATATCATAAAAACATAGTATCTACAAATTCAGTAAACTGTTTTGAAAATGTTTTGAAACTATTAAAAAAAACAAAAAAAACACCCTCGGAGGAGAAAGCTCTCAGCTTGTTTTACATTAACTGTAGGTAGACTAAGGTCAAGCTCAGCTGCAGTTAATGATTGTCAGTTTAAATCTTCACATTATGCAGCAAAATAAAACAATGCTCTGTTGCATTTCAGCTTTTTTCTCACCTTCAAACTTGTTGGTCTCAATATACAACAAATCCTTCCACAGAGGGATCAAGGTGAGCGATAAGTCCACATCTTCTGTTCGTTACGCGAGAGACAAAGGCTACAACACTGACTGTAAGAGATATCCCTCGTCATGCCAAAGTCTTTACCTTCAGTACTATCAGGAGAAAGAAGGGCGTGGTGGAGTTAATGAATGACACGGAGAAATCAATCAAACTCTCCTGCGTGATTGCAGCAGACTCTTTATTTGAAAGTGTTAAGAGTCGGGATGCAGCAGTGCATGAAGCCTGTGAAACTGTAACAAATGTGCAGGAATAAACATCCAGGAGACTGAATCAACCCACAAAATCTGAACTTCAGACATCTGAAATAACGCTTTGGAATGATTTAGTTCCATATTTGGCTGCAAAAATGATCAACCTGGACATTTTTTTAGTGAACTAGAAGGAACAACTGTGGTAGCTATGCATTCAACTTTGCACCGTGAATAACAGTGAAGTAATAAAATATAATACAGCAACACTTGGTCATCTTACATGTGGCAATATCATAATCTAGAAAAGATTTGCTGGCTGTAAATTTAAAAAAAAAAAAAAAAAACCAGCACTGACAGACACAACATGCAGAATTAAAGAGTGACCAGTGTTCACCGTGACGTGGGTAAATCTCACAGGCACTTCAAATGTGAATTTTACTTGAGTCAGGATGTGAAGTGCTTCTCCTGTTTAGTGAAATTGAACAAGTGCTCTTTAAAATGACCAGTATCTGCACACTTTCTCTCCACAGAGCTGCTGCGTTGACGTCGTTATCTTGTGTTTATTGCAGAGGAAATGTTTATTTAGTGACAAAAGCACAAAAGTTTTTAGTAAAAGGCCACTAGTTTAAATACAAAAGTTAATGAAAGTTGAGTTTGAGTCAAAGTATTTGGCCAGATTTTAAAGAAAAGGGTTGCAGAGTGAAATTATTTAAATGTAGAACATGATAAACACTTGCTCAGCGTGTAACACACATCAGGTAGCATGGCTGCTCAAATCAGTTGATAAAATACTGTCCCCTCCTGCACAGATTCAAAAGGCTACAATAAATTACTAAAAAAAACAACAACAACAACATAAAAACAAAGCAAAAATGGCATGAAGGACATTAGATACAGTGGTTGCCAAGAAAAGCAGCATTGTTCAAAAAGGAGTTACTTGTGGATGCTGTCAGTCCAAGTGGTGCTATGGCAGTCCAGTTCAAAAGAAAGTGAAGTATAGGACATGCTCACAAAGTCAGAAAATGCAACAGTCCTTGTTCCCAACAGGCTGTAGCTTTGTTTCTTTGTCGTCCTCTGCTGGCCACAGGGCTCAAGTGCAACCTGCAGCCACATCAGCAGACTTTCTCTCAGAGTTTGGGCTATTTAAGACTTAGCAGTATCCACCTTCTTCACAAAACCAGCCTCTGCTCTATGGGAAGACTGTCCATCAGACATTTCAGTTGCTCCTCTCCCAGTTTGATTTTGTCCTCAAGCTTGCGCTGCTCAATGATGAGCGCAGACTTCATTTTGACAAAGTGCTCATAGTCTGTGAGGCTGTCCTCCTGCAGGTAGTTAGCCAGGATGTCATAAACCACACGCTCCCGACGGTCCAGGTTCTCCTTCAGCTCCTTGGCGTCCTCGTGCTGTCGGATCAGCAGCTTCCTCTTCTCAATCAGTGTACGCTGAAGAAGAAGAAAATATCTGTGAATATTCGGAAGGATACACCAAAGGTATTCTAAAATATTTCTAACTAGCTAAAGGTGAACTCACCCTCTCCTCAGGAGTAGCGTCCTCTTCCAGGCTGTTGAGGGCGTTCTCCACTCTGGCCAAACGGCCTGACAGGGACAGCAGCAGGCTCACCACTTTGTCCAAGTCTCCGACAAACATCCTGAACTTGTCTAGCTCGTTAGGTTTGCAGACCTGCTGGACTCGGGCCTCCACCTCGTCTCCCAGGGCGTTGTTGTCCAGGACGTCCTCCTGGAGACTCTCTCTGGCCTCCCGCAACACCTGGAGCTTCTTGCTGAGGCTGTCGATCAGCTCTTGCTGCATGAAAAACAGAACATGTAAAACAAAAGCTGAGAGGTTAGTAATGTTGACTGTGGCATTTAACCTTTAAGCCTATTTTTTGACACACACACAGATACACAACAAGGCTGCTTCAACAATCTATTAAAGTGACACATTTTGTCATAGGTCAGACAAGTGTCACTTTCACAATAATGTCCCCCTCAGCTTCATTCAGACACACCCATAGTAACAGAGTCAGCTAGAATACGCACACTATATTTGTCGTACACGAGAGACTGGATGGTACATTCAGTGACATAAAGCATAATAATGCACCAATGAACAAAACTTCAAACTGTCCAAACAACCAAGTTTATCTGTGATTTCCTAAACACAAAAAATTTGGTCCATGTGTGATGATAATGTAAAAAATACTTTACCAACAGTAACATAACAATATCCTGACAGCCGTGTCGGAGATCAGGACTCAACCTGAGGACGACTGCTGTGTAACAATTTTTTTTTTAACAGCAGCTGATAAACTGTGACTCTGTGTGACAGCTCACCTGTACACAAAAAAGTAGGCATGGTTTCACACTAAATCATGATTGATCCTGTCTCCTCGTCAAGGATAATTTATAAGTTTAAGTACATGATGAAGTTTCAAGAGAATAAATGCACACATCTCTCTCTCTCTCTCTCTCTTTGGAGATGCTCATATGGATCCTGCTGCTGCCTGATGCTGCTGTCAACCTAGTAAGATTGCCCTGGCTACTTTAATGGGAAAGTGGCCAGGGCTTTCATTCAGACATGAAGCCAACCTGTTCAGACACTATCAGATTAACAAACAGGAGTGCAGTCTAAAAGACTT